CTGAGTAGATAAGGTTTTTGTTACTGACTTTATTGTGCCTAAGGAGAGATACCTTGAAATAGTTAAAGCTAAGGATTTCCCCAATTAAGTAGAATACATTTTTTCGCTGAAATGCTGGGAATGGGGGAAAAGGATACGTAGTCTTGAGAAGCCAGGAGAGCTCTATTTCAATTTTCTGTATTTTCTCCAGAGAAAACTATAGAGTCGTTTTGACACTTTCAAGGCACACCTTATGTCTTCCACGTTTAGTAGAAGGAATTTATGGAGCATAACTTTCTACATAAACTGACGAACTCCTAAATTGTGAAAGAATCTTAATGACACTAATTGTTCCTACATTTTAGTTACATGTATATTTAAGGGATTTGATAGATTTCACCACTTGTTTTATGAGGATGTTTTCCTGCTAACGATTCTGTTAAAAGCCTGCAGTTTTCTGAGACTTGACGTGTTTAAAGAAGCACAAAAGTTGAAAATGTATCTAGAGCAAAGGCAGTCACACTTGTAAAATTTTCTGTGCAAATGGAATCCGTTTAACTCTCGAAAAACTACGCAACGTGGCTCTCTAGAATTAAGTAGTGAACAAATTCGTCCAGGAAAAGTTGTGATAACTCAGATTTAATGCCTTAGTTGACCCTGGGTGTAATTTGGTAGCATTGTCTTGAACTTTACTCCAGTGTTTATAAACGTAACATTTAGCGACATTGCTCTTTGTTCTTCGTGGTTTTTTTTTAATCATTACAGTTACACGAAGAACATGATGTTTACTAGGCTACCCTCCTTCACCAAGTCTCCCCAGCCACCCCATTACAGTCACTGTCCGTCAGTGTAGAAGATGCTGTAGAATCACTACTTGTCTTCACTGTGTTGCACAGCTCTCCCCATGGTCCCCCGCACATTATACATGCTAATTTAATGCCTCCTTTCTTTTTACTCACCCTTAACCCTCCCTTCCTACCCATCCTCCCTAGTCCCTTTTTACCTTTGGTAACTGTTAGTTCATTCTTGAGTTCTGTGAGGCTGCTGCTGTTTTGTTCCTTCAGTTTTTCTTTGTTCTTATACTCTACGTATGAGTGAAATTGTTTGATACTTGTCTTTCTCCACCGCTCATATTACAGTGAGCATAATACCCTCTAGCTCCATCCATGTCATTGCAAATGGTAGGATTTGTTTTCTTGTTATGGCTGAATAATATTCTATTGTGTATATGTACCACATCTTCTTTATCCATTCATGTACTGATGGACAGTTAGGTTGCTTCCATTTCTGGGCTACTGTAAATATTGCTGTGATAAACATAGGTGTGCATCTGCTTGTGGTGAAACTGCCCAATATCTGCTTGTTAAACAAAGAATGTCAGGTGGCTGGATGACATGGTCATGAAGAATGGGCTGGAGGGGGGTGCCTGGCAGGAGGCAATTGTGTAGTGCCTTATCTCAACCCTGAGGTGGCTGTACAAGGTTAGACAGTGTACTGGCATCCTGCGCCTCCAAAGCAAACACCCTAAGTACCACAGATGAAGGCACGGCAGGACCAAGGGCATGGCAGGACCATGTCTCTGCCCTTCAATTCTTTGTCGTGGCAGAGACAAGGATTGAGGAAATTACACAATGCTCCCCTAATGATACCATCCCAATACACTGAACTTCAGAAGGAGAAGCTCCAGCATCTTATCCAAGCAGGAAAAAAAGCACACAAGACCCTCTCCAGTCCTCTGCGTGCTCAGAAACCCTGATCGCCTACTGTTGGCTTCAGTCGGCTGATACTTGGGTCTTCTGCCTGGCAGGGCTGGTGCACACCCACTGTTGCCTTGAAGAAATGACTGACAGAAGGAAGAACGAAAAAACAGAGGGGACTAAATCACAGGTTGACACAGCTTTCCCAAGTGTGTCTTCCTGGTCTTGCTAAACACAAATGGTTCCTCTTGAAAAGCATCCAGACTTCCCCATTAACAAACTTTGCTGAACTTTTACATCACAATACACAAAACAGTGGATTAGGCAGACCTTACCTACCAGATCTCATCAATTCCTACCCAAAAGTCAGGTCCCAAGGGATCAAGGAGGTGTGCCAAGCCCTGGCCTATCTCTCATGGCATGGCTCCCTCCAGGTAAGTCACCTGAGGGCTGGCAGAGCCCAGCACCCAGCAGGGAACAGCCCAACCAGCTCTGCTCACTCTCCCACTGCCCTGGAAGCCCTTCAGTCCGCATGCCCTTCAGGGCCTGATAAACCACACAAGCTACACAGGAGGGTCTCAAACACAGAACTTCAACCTGATGGTGGTGATAATGTCCAAACAGCCCCAAACGGTCCTGGCTCTCCAGGTCCCACATGCCCAAACAGGAACAAGCCTCCAGGAGAACTGACACCACCTATGGGAAGGAACACATCTCTGTCACTGCCAGGGATTTAGGTTGCTGCTGGCCATTCTGTAGGAAAAATAGACAAAGCCACCTCAAAGGTTTAAATGTGTCCTAGCTTTAGGACAGGAGTTGACGTGTTCTTGTTTGGAATGGTTGGACAGCCCAAAAGGCCCCTCATAGTGGGGAGGTTGCACTTTTCCTCTGTACCCCTGCTGCAAGCTAACACCTGGCACAAAGGGCTGCTAGGGACTGCCTGCCATACTTGGGACGTGAGGCACATGGACATGCAGTGGCTCTGCACCCTGGCCAGCCCCTAAGCAGCCAGAGTGTGGCTCTGAGAGCCAAATGGCAGGAGGGGGACGAGGAAGCTAGTCAGCAGACATCAGGTTAAGAAGACCGTCTCTGAGCACTGCCCAATGACAGGCAGGTTCGGAGGCCCTGTGCTGGGCACATTCTACTTGGTACCTGTTGGTAGCAGGTTGTGGATACAGAGCTGGGCTGGAACTTTCACTGAGCACTGGTCTTGTTTGTCTCATCTGCCATCGGGATTCCATGCTGTCATACCAGGACTAACTGATACAACACGCCCTGGGGGACACTAATTCAGTACATTATAAGCAACTTTCCTGGCAGCAACCTATGTAGGTGGCATGGCTACTGCGCTCCCAGGAAAGAGAGAGAGCACCAATTGGAATTTAGGCCCTCTATGGGGGTTACACAGCGGGGGACAGACATGGTTCAGACACAACCCTTGCTGTCCCAAGTGATGGGCTGAATGAAAACAGTGAACAATGTGCACACCTGAAGAGGGCCCCCTTAGCATCGTCAGTAAGAACTGTTACTAGTTTTTAGAATCCCTCTCAAACTCACAGAGAAGATAAATCAACACTGGCTTCAGGCAAGAAAAAATGAAAACTACCACCCACCTCCTAGAACCATAGGTCATAAGCACCATGCAAGCACATGCCGCTTTCTCCACGGAGCCCGCTGTGCTCACACTAGCCCAAGAATGGAGGGACCAGCATACTTGCAATAGAACCATATACGTGGCCCACCACACAGACCACGTAACTGCTTTTCCCTCCTTTCAGAACGTTCAAGTTGTCCTGAATGAAAGGGCAGTTCTGTGATATCTGTGTTGTGAATGATACAAGCCCAGCCCTGGCCCACAGATGAAGCTGTGGTGGCAATACTCCACAGCACCAGTAATGTCCTCTCTCAACTGACTTAATCTGGAAGGAAAAAAAGTTTGAACCTCTAGGAAGGGAGGTTCAAGAGAACTTTCTGTGATAGGAGACAAATAGCCATGGTCTGCTGTGCCATCCACAGGGGCTGTCACTAGCCACATGTGGAGCAACTGAGCAATGGATTTGTTCTGATTTTCATCACATATACACACCCGCATGAGAATGTTGGCTATTATACTAGATAATACTGACATCTGGGGCCAGATAATTCCTTGGTGCAGGGCTGTCCTGTGCACTGTGGGGTGCTGAGCATCAGAACTGGTCTGCACCCCCAGCTGCCAAGGGCAACACCCTCTCCAGCTGAGACACCCCAAACTGACATGGCCAAAATTCCCCTGGGTGCCCCAATTGCCCTCTCCCAGGTTGAGAACCAGAGATGGAAATTCTCCACTTCTCTCATTCCTCACTTCTTCAGAAGCACTCGGGGCAAAGGGAAAAACAGTAACCAGCCAGCACTCTTGACTGGCCAGTTCCTGCCCAGACACATTTATCGACACCTGGATTGGCACCACAGACAAGGCCATGTGGAATTCTGGTAACAGCGCTGTGCAGTGATTGGTTTTACTTTTGCTTTCTAAAACGCATATGCCAGCTTAGCTTTCTCACACAGACAGACCTAGGAATGAAGTGTGAAAGTGCTGGCTGTTATGAAAAGCATTGATTTCACCTGAACATCTCATGCTTCAGTAAGATCTGATTCCGATTATGGATAGGAGCTGCTTAGGGGAGGTCCAGCCCTGGCCTGCAAGTGCCTGTGGCTAATGCAGATATAAATGTTGGGCTTGGTGAAGAGGATGAGGGACGGTCTGCCTTCTCCTTCCCATCCCCCTGGCTCCCTGGGGGACAGGACAGCTCCCCCAACAGGTTAAAAATACAACTGACCCCTGGAGCTGTGGGTTCCTACAGAGACAGTCCCCAGACAACTCAAAATGTAACACGTGGAGCCGAAGCAAGCAGCCAGTCCTGAAAAGATGCCCCAAGGCCTCTGCAGCCAGGAGGGAGCTGACAAAAGGGAAAATGCGTAAGGCCACCATCCAGGACGGTACATTGTGGGGCTGTCATCCTGGATAAGGAGGGGAGGTTTGTCTGTCAGCTTCTTGGGGGCAAACTGAGGAGAAGGGGAGCGGGAGGTCTCCATCGCGGATGTCTGTAGGGGCTGGAACTTGGAAGGAAGCCGGGTTTCCCGCTTAGGACAGGCTGCCGGCTCATCTACATGGTGTCCGTTGGGCTCCGCCGCAGCCTCTGGACCATCCGCAGGCTGAATGCTGCTGGGCTCTGCCGAGGCACAGGGGCTGAGGGAGAGGGACAGTCGGTTCGCACACCCCCGCAGGGTCCCAGATGCCAGTGCAGGGAGGGGCCTGCTGGGGGCACCTGGGTGCGTGACTGCAGGTACAGGGCCAGCCCGGGCCCCAGCACTGCCCTGGCTCCTGCGTAGGAGGCGGCGGCCTCTTGCTGAGCAGCGTGGGGCTCACGGGCCGTGGGTCCTGCCCCCGGGTGTTCAGGGCCAAAGGGGTGCTCGGTGCCTGTGGTCCCAGGCTGGGCAGCCTCCGCAGCTCAGCAGGCGCCTTGTCCTCAGAGTATCTGTAATCACGAGGTAAGGTCCCCGCTCGGCCCTGGCCCTCCAGGGGCACCTCTGGAGCTTGCTGGGCCTGAGGCAGCTCAGAGACCTGGGACAGGTTCCATGGGTCCCACTGTGCTCCTGGTCAGTCTTCTCGACAGTGGGCATCTGCCTGTCTAGAGGAAGAATGAACAAAAATGAGCAAATGGTTCCAATTAACATCTTTGCCCCAAACAGGTTAACCCAGATCTTGATCATCTCCTGAAATCATCTTAATGAATTAAATCCACATACATTTTCCCATACCTGTCCCCACCACAATTCCTATCAAAGGTATCAAACCGAACACACAATGGATGACATCTGGCTACATGCTGGCATGTCACAATAGGACATGAAGATGCACATGCACAGACACACACAAAACTGCATTTTGAGGCAAAAGACAACATTTACAAACTCTGAAAAACAATAAAAAGTCTCATGGCTATATTCAGAAATGTTTACTTCAGATTGCAACAATATTTTTGTGTGGCTTACTTCTGGAAATTGCCTTGTGGAAAAGGATAAAACTTCCTAAGATGGTGCACAAATCACTTTATTAATACAACCTTGAAAATCAGTAGTGTATTATTACCAGTGGCAAAAACATACTTTCTTTTGGAAGCTGCAGTCATTCTGATCTTTCCATCCTCTTGTGTTTTATTAGCTCTATTTCTACCTTTCTGTTACACACACATATACATGCATTTATGCATGTACACACAAACATCCCTGTAAAACAAATATGAATTTGCATGATTTACATGCATGTCTCTGTGCCACAGCCAGAGCACATGGGCTAACAACTGTCAAACTTGCAGCCTATCAGCCCACCGTACCTCTGACAATACACTGCTGCTTCTCACCGCTTAAAGAAAGGGAGCCACTGACCACTCTTCCATTTGTGGAAGAGCTGATTCCTGCTGGGCAGACCACCTCTGAGTTAAGGGAATCTAACACGGTAGCAAACGGAGACCACCTTCTCATGGTACTTGTGCTCTATACCCAACAAGCCAGACAGCAGACCCTCCCTGACACCTGCACCACAGCCTCATTCTAGCACTGCTGGGGCCCAGGAGAGGCCCAGCCACTTGGGACATGATTGCAGTTGGGTATCAGACCTACGGGCCACTGGGCACTGTGAGGACAGTGCCCTGTGTGAGTCCCGCTGCTATGTCCTTAGGAGATGATCCTCTCCAGGTGCAATGGATGTTCCACAGAACCCAGAGCACGCCCAATTCCCTCTGCTTCCCCTTGTCAGCCAGCTGGGCCTCACTCCCCGCCCTGAACCACCCTAGCACAGAGAGAGCAGACCCCGCCCCAAAGCGGAAGCTGCAGGTCCTCAGCACCTGCGCAAGGACAGACAGCTCAAGCCCTGCTGGGACCCTGACAGAGGGCAGGTTTGTTCTCTGCTTCAGGGAGGCCTCTGCACAGAGAACAAGCTGTAACAAAACAGCCAAGGGTGAGAGGTGAAGGAAACATTAACCCAGCTCAAGGAAGTTGGATTTTAAAAAATGTATTAGATACATGCTAAGAGAAACTAAAGTATAAAACTTGAACACAGCAATGGATAGCGTAGAGAAACACAGTCAAGCCAGGTGTCTGGTTACAAAATACAGAAGGACACTTAAACACTGTCAAATTAACACCACGTGCTGAGAAGTGTAACTCCTGGCTGACATGTTCCATCACAAAGTAAGCCTTTTGGCCTGCAGGGAGGAACGAATGCCTGGTATCCCTCCCACTGAAGCCTCTCCAGAGAGTAAGACCTAATTCACAACAATTCATGAAGGCCTCCCCAATGTTCATTTCAAACACTTGAGGTACACTGGAACTTTTTTTTCTGTTAAAACTCCTGAAATCTAGCACTGACAGACCCATGCACAAGTGCCACATTCCTGTTATTTAATAAATATCAACCAGCTCATAGAAATGGAGAATTGGCTACAATTTATATGCTAAAATCTAAGTACCTTTGGCCACCTGGAATCAGATTTTAATATATTAACTTGAAGGAGCTCTACATCTGAGAACCAGCCAGACACAGATGGGAACTCATCTTTTGGGTTGGTGGGTGGGTCCTTGAGGAGATAATGACTCAGGCCAAAAGCACCTGGAGGTCTTTTGCTTCTTCCTAGCAGTGCATCCTTTGCAGGACCAGGGGGCAGCCCGATCTCCAGGCAAGTCGTGTGTGCTCCGTGATTCCTTCTAGAACTGCAGCTGACCGTCCTCCATCCCAATATCTAACTTTAGTCAGCTTTACATACACACAATTTCTAGACCAAATTTGATCCCCAGCCCCTTATTTTTTTCTTGATGTGTTCCCCACCACCAAACCCATAAACTCAAAATCATAAAGAACCACTAATTTGTTTGTATAAATTTTTATTGCAATGAAGTTGATATACAATGTTATGTGGCTTACAGATGTACCTTAGTGACCCCATAACTGCATACATTACTAGATGTTTGCCCACTGATTGTTCTTTTTTCCCCCAGTAATTGGTTTTTATTGTTGCAGGTGGTAAGAGTTCAGGAAATCACAGAAAAGGGTCCAAAAATGGGAATCTCTGATTCTGCTGGAGTCATATGCAAACTAATAGGTTTGAACTGACAACTTTGTGGATAAAGTGTATCATGTGTTCATGTTTGTGTGTATTGTGCATGTTGTATGTGTGTCTGTGTGTATGTACCCCTTTTTTGTATTTTCAAGCATAAAGTTAATGGTGATAGGAAAATCCAGCAAGAAAACAAGGCGACTGAAGGACTTTACCAGCCAAAGCAATGGAGCATCTCCTGCAGGTGCTCATGGGTACGTATACATTAGAGCAGTGAGGTCACCGTGCAAGGGAAACCAGCAGGCAGCCGCCCTCCCAAGTCGCAGCATGTGAAGGTTAGATTGCTCATGCTCACGCAGGACATGCTGATAGGTTCCACGGAGCAGCTCTAGGAGCAGGGAGGATGTGCTGGCTCTTAGCAGCTGAGGCTCCTGGAGATGTGCAGCCCCACCCCCCACCAGGGCTGGAGCCCAGTGGTCCTCCTGCTGTCATTCGACTGACCACTTGGAAGGAAATGGGGAATGCAAGGTGGGCAATAGGATTGCAAAACAAAACAAATCTAATCCAAAGGGGAAAGGCCACGTTACAGGCTGTTCAGTTGCACAGACATCCTGTAATAGGAGAGAACCCTGATAAAAAAAAATAGATACACACACACATATAAACACACCCATACGCACGTGTCTGTACACACAACTGTATAACATGTATTGAGTGTGATGTGATATATAACAATGTTAATATGTATCATATATATGTCAAATGCTCTCGAAATCCCATCAACCCTGCTATTATTCCAATCTACATTTTGATCTTGGCAGAGACAGCCAGCCCCGTGTCTCAATGAGGTTTCCATGTCTGAGAGGTGGAGGCTTATTTCTAGATTCCACCTGTTCTGTTCATGTCGAGCCCTGTGCCGTCCCTGGGCTCATTTCTCTGGCTCACCTTTCTGCCTGCTGCCTCCACATCTTTGGCAGAGCTGGCTCCTTAGCACACAGGCCCTCGGCTCTGCCGGCCCTGCTGCCTCCCACCTCCAGGTCGCCCCTTGCCCACAGGACTGGTCTCTCTGCAGCCCCTGTATTGTTCCCTGTCTCCGCACTCATAATCCTGGGCTGTGTGCCTCTGCAGAGGGCAGGGAGCCAGCTATCTTCTGGGCCTTGCAGGCAAATACCATGGGCACTACATCATGGTCTCCCCTGCACATCCATCAGACGTATAAATGCAAATTTTGTTCACAGTGCAGAATAGTAATGGAAGCTGTGGGTTTTTTTGTGTGTGTGTTGGTTTTGGAGATGCAGGCAGTTAGATTTCCTGTGAAATCATCGTTCACAGGAACTTTCTCAAAACAACTAAACATTTCTGGACTGCTCTGTAATCACTGATTCACTGCTGCTTTGTAAATGAGGTTAATAATCATCTTCACCAGGGAAGAGAGGAAAATTTCTGCCTTTTTTGGATGACGTAAGCAACACACCCTACAGGGTCCTCCTTTCCTTCCCAACTCCCCACAGAGCTGGTGACTGCATTCTGAAGGTATGAAGAGAATGTTAAGGGAGAGAACAGGAAAGACTTGATTTAACACCAGGGAGGGTCTGGTGAGGCATTAAAGCTCTGATTTTATAACCCTCCCGGTCCCCTTTTGGCTGCTAGTGGGAGCAGTGGTCTCTTGTGCCCATCTTTGTGTGAACCAGAGTGGAGATCCACTAACCGTCATTTGACGTCATTACAATTAGAAGGAAATCAGATCTGAGTCACTGTGGTAATTATTTCATTACAGCAGATGTTTTACTTTACCTTGTAGTAATTTTAGGCACATGTACGTTGTATAACTTTTACTAGGTTTGCTCTACTGTTGATAAAAACTGAAGAACTACAAATGTTAGGGCACAGGTAAAAAGTAACATGAATTTGGCTTTATCTTAATTATCTGTCCCCTTTACCAACACACTCCTGAGCTACTTATATTTTTAAAAAATATATGACTAAGTGCATAGAAATCTAGCTATGGACAGGGCGGTTTTTACAGCATAACACGTCCTTGGCCCTTTCTTCCCCACACCCCACCACAGTGTCATCAAGCACCGGTCACATGCCATCAGGTCACTGACTTGTGGGTCACAAGCCTGTCTGAGTACACTGCCGCTGCCCCAGCTCCACGGCCATAGGCATGACCCTGCTTGGAACCTTGCAAGAGACCCAGATTTCTTGTCTGCAAGCATGGCCAAGTTTGGGCTAAAATTATTTAAAACGAAATCAAACTAGATCACAATTATAGTGCACAAACACCACATTTCAACAAAGTAGAGAGTGAATCCCTTTACAGCTTTTGCACATTCACTCTTGTGAAGGCAAAGCCATGGTGTGTGGTGACTTGCTCTGTGTTAAGAAGTGTTCCTTGTGAGGGGTGATCCACAGTGGGCACTTCTAACCTTCCTCTCTCCTCAGTTACTGAGTTACAAACATGCACACATTTTTATCACAATTAGCATGAAAAAGACATAACCCTCCCCCCAACCAGTCCTCACCCACACTCCCCTGGAGCGATCTGCCACTCCTCAGGGACCCTCGTTCGTTAC